TGTGTGTGTGTGTGTGTGTGTGTGTGTGTGTGTGTGTGTGTGTGTGTGTGTGNTAAATGTTGTATGTGACGGGACTACGGATGGAAATTAGCTCAAAAGCTAAAATCCGGCATGTTTACGTTTTAAAGCATTATTGGTTTTAAATGTTCATCAATGTGCACTGTCCCTCTTCAAATAAACGATTACATGAAAAAAAAAAATGAAATGGAAGGTGAGCAATTAGAGATGCAGCACTTCATTTTTTAAGTGCTGCCTGATGCATACGACAGACGGATGAGCAAATGGATACAAATATAGGCGATCAAATCAACATATGAGGAGATGATCAACACGCAGACAACACTGAATCATGTCTGACAATGAAAATGGGATCAATTATGACTGGTCAACAGGCACATTCGATGTGAAGCCAAGCGGGTGATGCAGCTTCTCTTCCAAAAACTCTCCTCCACAGCCAACAGAGGGCGCTCACAACTCAATAATGGCTTTCAGATTCACTTCCAGGCTGCCATTTGAAGAACTGAGGAATAATTCTCCGTTCAATTGTTCGCAAACACATAATGGGAGTACTAAAGTGCTGTAGACGGCAGATGTTTCTTTCGTTCATTGTGAGACATGTGTGACCTGTGTGAAGAGATGGGGGCAATTGAATGTGTAAAATAGCCAGATTGTGTGAAACGATTTGGAGAAGGAGACAAAAATGTTTCTTGAATTCTTAGATTTCAACTTCCTATCATGGAAAAAAAACTGATTGAGGTAGTTTCCTGCTGTTGGCTCCTTAACACACACAACTAACTTGGAAAAGGAAAAAGCTTGAGTGAAGACTGAAAATTCACCAGTTTTTCCACTGAACTTTTGCAATAAAATAAACTCTTCGGTACGTAGCACTTACAAAGGGTTTGCCTTTAAGTGAAGCTAATGCAGCAGCACTTCATCTGATTGGGCTAATAAAAAGGAAAATGTACCTGCAGGATTCTTGCTTTTGAGTTTGTTTCTTCATGGTTGAACGCACTTATTGTAAGTTGCTTTGGATAAAAGCGTCAGCTAAATGTAATGTAATGAGAAGACACTGCTGGAAACAGTCTCAGTGCAGACGCTGTGTGGCTGTCCAGCAGCTGACTGCACTTCACCGAGTGTTTATAGATCAGTGTTGGGATAGACAAGCAGTTGTTTTTTTTAAATTATTAGTGAATTTGTTGAACATGTCAGAAACCTTTTTTTTTATTTGTATTTTTATATAATAATAATTATAACAAAGAGATGCAAAAAAAAAAAAACGTTCAAGGTACAACAAAATTCAAATAAATAAATTCTCAAATAGTCTCTGTCATGTTCAACAGGGGCAGGAAGAAGCTTAAAAAACATTTCTGGTCCTATCCCCTCTAGCTTAAATTGTTCTTGAAAATAAAAGATTAGGTCATCGTCATCAGCGTCACGTTGAAAACAAATAATTTAGTTTTACAAAACAACCAAAAAAGAAATAACTTTTACAATGACAAGAAATAAAAACATGAGTTCCCGCTCATAACCATTCATGATTGGGTTTCTAAATAATAGTTTTAGTTTAGATAGACTTGTACAATATTTCAGCTCATCATTACTGTTATTCCACAGGTCAACACCTTTTGTTGTGATGCACTGAAGTTTTGAATTTGTTCGTATGGAAGTTTTTAAAAAAAATGCAGTTTCCTCTCCATAGAAGAGAGGACTTCAGGTGTTGTGTTTGTGAGGACGAGGGTGTGATAAAGGCTCCACAGTGTGCTGTAAACTGAGAAACTTACGGACAGGCTTCGTCTTGAAGAACTTGGGGAGGCTGCTCTCCCCCTCCCCCTTTCCGTTGATGGCGTACAGCCTCACCTCGTAGCTGGTCTCTGGCTTCAGACCTGTGACAGTGGCCTCAGCGCTGAAGCCTGTAACAACGATCAGAGGCAGAGCAATCCCTGTTGAGAACACCTTGATCCCAAGCGGTGAAACAAACTCACTCCCAGTTCAAACAGTGCGTGTATAAACAATAATTAATTCCATCACGGGTAAACACTGATTAGCTGGATTCTCGTTTCATTCCAACAATGTTCAAACAGATAAGTCTATTTAGAGATGGTCTAAAAGGTCTGAACCAGGTATACACAGAAATAACTGACAGCTGTCTCATAATCATGAATACATTACTTTTGGGAACTGGATTACTTTATATTAATGATAAATAAATGGCTATTTTCTAATATTGCGAATGTTTATTTATGTAATAATTGTCTAATTTGACGTTAATGTATTATTTAGTTTTCCACTATATAATGAAAGTTAATAAAATGTCATTTAATTCAGGGTACTTGCATACTTCGCACACTTCTAGATATTTATAAGACTAACAAAGGAAGTGTGGCGCCATTTCTACTGCCAGACAAATGCATGTTATTGAAATAGATACATTCTTAATTAAATCTAATCGTTACGATATTACCATGAATCTACACGTGATTTATATTATGGTATAGGATGCAATGAACTGAGTTTCAGTGTAATGCATGACATGAAAGAAAATATAAATATATCTCGAAATGATTTTGTTTGAATTGCAACTTGCTTGAAATCCCTAATCACTTTCCTCCTAAAAAAAAAATCACATTTCACACCATTATTTTTTGTTTGGTTTTGTGTTCTTACCATCATCGACTGCATAGGCGCGGTGCAACCAGGTGCCTCGGCCCTGCATCCTCCACTCCGCCCTGTACTTCAGGACAGAAACCCCCCCGGTGGACTCGGGCTCCCCAAACTCGATCTGTGCCGAGGTGGAGAAGGGCCTGACCTCGCTGAGGAATGGAGCTGATGGCACCTCTGGTAAAGCAAAGCAAATGCAGTGTTTTTATAACAACTGTAACGTTTTAGGACGCCAATGCTGCCAAACTCCATTGTTCTGTTATAATAACAGACTGAACTCACAGGTCATAACAGTCAGAAACCCATCGAGAAAAACAGCTTCGGCTTTGTGAGAAACGCCTGATTTGTGACCGTGCTGCTGTTTCTCAAGCACTGAACGCTGCAGACGCTTGACTACTTCAGAAAATAAAAACAGTAGGAAAACAATCAAATGCTTCTGTGATGAACAGATTCAAGATAAATCAGAAAATAGTTAGCGGCTTGTTGAAGCTTTAAGGAAAAAAGCTTTAGGGGTGTTGCTTATTATGCATCTTTGAGCTGGAAAAATTAAGACATGAGAAGCATTCAGACACCTTTCAAATATACAATGTAAACATCCATAATTTATAACAGCTGTTATTCATTGAGATGTTTTTCTATGACATCATAAATGTTGCATTTGTAGAGAAAATGTCTGAACTGTAGTATACACAATTCATTGATGAATCTCTCATCCTCTTCTCATTATACATGCTCCCCTTGGGCACCATAACAAACCATTACAATGTTGAATATCACTGTTACGTTGTTGAGCCACAATTGTATATTTCCATTTCAAATGAAAACCAGTAACTTTTGTACCTGTCTCAATGAGGTAAACAATTGGATGAATGATAACTTTTATTTAAAGAAACTAGCAAAAAAACTGAAATTCTACAAGTAGGTCCAAAATCAGAACGGCAGAGAGTAGAGTCAGTTATCTCCAGCATGTCCAAGTATTAAAAACACAAGTTACCAATCTGGTGGTCATTTTAGACATTTTTAAACCATTTTCTCTTTGTTTTTAACTTGTTCCTCACTCTTTATTTTGTAACTGCTTACTCTGTAAAGCACTTCGGGCTGCATCTTGCATGAAAGGGGCTATATAAATAAAGTCTATGATTATTATTATTATTAGCATTCAAGTTATATGATGAAAACAAAAAAATGACATCCACCCACCACCACGGATCCCTCTATTTGATGGAAAATTACAATGTTTCAAAAACTGTGGCCGGCTGTTATAAATTCACACAGTCTGGCGTGAGCTCAGCGCTGTATTGAATGACTTTGATCTGCGAATTGAAAGCACTGCGATTACTGCAGTTGCTCGTGTTGGCTTTGAGGGAAGATTGTGGATTCATTTTCTTCAGATTGTGGCCTAAGAGTGCCATTAACTCTCTGCCCCTCCGCTCCATTTGTCTAATGCGTTGGTGAATATACAGCTGCGGGTGAGTTGATGGTACAGTACAATCAAATGTTGTCCGTTTGATAAAGTGTATTTTAATTCTTAAATACACACAAACTCCTGGATCTGCACAATAATATATTCCGTTTTCATTTCTTTCAATACTAAATAAAATCCTCAGAACCGCTGTAGTTTTCTAAACAACCAGAGGGAAGGAACGTTGAATTATCCAATGTTGGTTTTTTCACCTAAATCTACCATCCATCCAAACAAACACAGCTCTGTGTGATCTCACGTTACGGTAGATGTTTTGGTCTAATGTGTTGTGAATATGGGTGAAATCTCTTTGTTAAGCCTGAAGCCAGAAAAGCTTTGTAATTGAATTCATGCGCTACAATGAAATGGGATTCTTTGTGTTTTGTTACTACTGAAAAACATTGTCCTATGTATTTACAGAAAGTTCACGCCTGACATATCATCCATAATTCCTTCAAACAGCACAAATACATTCAAAACTAAAGCTCAGAGAGTCACTGACCGGCCTGGATGAGCAGGAACTCTTTGGACTCGGTGCCCATCTCATTTGAGGCGCTGCAGTTGTAGCTCCCAAAGTCATTCTCTGACTCAGGGGTTATCTGGAGAAGAAAAACAAAGCAACAAAATGAAGGGCAACATAGCAAAACAGATAAACAAAGTTGAGTGTCAAACACTCTGAAGGTCACCTTTTTATTTGTCCATTACAGTAGCCTATTTGTATTTGTTGCTGTGAGCTCTCCTGCTGCTGAATTATTCATTAGATTTATTTTTTTCACAATGGAGCTGAAAGAAAACGCCCCTCACTCGGAGTCTCATGAAATGTTGATGACACAAGGGGTATGTGTGTGTGTGTGTGTGTGTGTGTGTGTGTGTGTGTGTGTGTGTGTGTGTGTGTGTGTGTGTGTGTGTGTGTGTGTAGGGGTATTGCCCGAGACGTAGTGAGAGTCAGAAGTTCTTTTCGGAGTTCGGTGGACAAGCGAGTACAAATGACTGACAGGAATAAATAAATAAAAAATAAGATTGGAAAATAGAGAGTTGGAAAAAATATAAGGGTCATAAAATAAAGTTATACGAGGAATCTATTGTAAAAATAAATAAAAAGAGGTATATCGTTACACTTCGGGGAAACTCTACTCGAACAAAAATTTCACACGGTATATTTTACTTTATAAATAATAATAATAATAATAATAATATTGATAGTATGTAATATTGTTTCGTAAGAATGAGTGGTCGAGGCCGATTCAAACATGTGGTACATTTTTTGTAAGTTGTTTGCAAGTGGAGTTTTACTTAGCCGAACACCACAGCCCGGAAATTTTTGAGTAAATAAGATCTCGTGACAAATTGGTGTCTTGAGTCATTGTCAAACCGTCCTCAAACATAATGTACGTAAGGAAGGTGATCTACGGGGATCTAGTGCCACGGCACGTCACATTGGGTTGGACCTCCCCTTGCGACACTTATAGTCGACACTCCAGTTCCCGAAGTAGGGCACTACACAGAGATAGCGGACCGACTCTCTGCCTTGACGTCGAGGGGTTGCGGTTTGGTGGTGGTTGAATTGCTAGAAGTCCTCAGTAGTCGGTCGATGGACCGTCCATGTGTGTGTGTGTTGTGTGTGTGTGTGTGTGTGTGTGTGGTGTGTGTGTGTGTGTGTGTGTGTGTGTGCACAGTTTGGTGATAAATGTGAAGTATTTCA